ATGTGACGTACGTGTTTTAGTTAGTTGTAATGAATTGTGAGTTTACAGTCGTGTTCGCAGGCTATGTGATTCGCAGGGATTGAGTGAATGTTTTGTTAATAGGCTGTATAATGAAACATATCAGTGTAAAACGACGAGAAGTAATGTACATTATTTTTCACCCTGCTCGGTTTCCTTTGTTTTTATCGGGGAATATATTCAATATTCCCCTCTAATCAATTTCCGTTTAATAATCCCCTCTAATATTCACCCATGCAATGTCTTTGCATCACAAAAAAATGAGCAAAACATAACATAACGAAGACAATATGACATTAAGAATTATTTCTATTCTTACTCATTAATGCGACCTCGCAGTGTGAAAAATAAGTACGTTATTTTGAGGCACCTCGGGGATATGTGTTTATTCACCTCGGCGCTACGCGCCTCGGTGAATAAATCACATATCCCCTCGTTGCCTCAAAATAACCTATACGTAACAAGTGTATAGTACTGTGAATATTTCACCCGCGTCACATTATCTCAATTGATAGCAGTCAGGATTTATGAATTGAAAATATGGGTAATGATCACAGCAATAGTGTCTTAATTTGAACAATATTCCTAATCCAACTCCAACACTAACGTGTTACCCGAACCCTAATGTAATATTGCTTAATTATTGCATGCTGTAATCTAACACTAACGTTCATGAAAACCGGACGGCCTTTTTTAAAAAAAATGAGCTAGAGAAAGAAACTAATAAGAACACCTGATAATCACAACAAGGAAATTTTGTCGTTATACGTAATCACGCTTCTAATTTGGAAAAGAATAACTTAAGCCCCGTTTACACTACGCTTAATTTTTGGTACGGCACGGATAAAATTGGTACTCGTCCCACTTTTTTGGTTCTTGGACTACCTATTTAGGTAGTATATAGGTAGTCCAAGAATCAAAATGTGTTCAACCCACTTGCATAGACTATAGCAGTAGTATTGTGATTCAATTGTGTTTAATTGAAGTTTCTTGAAAATACTTCTATATGTTTTTTTTTATTTAAAACATACAATGCATAACACCGATAACGAATCACAAAACTCAAAGTTGTAATCAATTTTTATACACGAATAATACACTAGAATTATATGCACGAGTATTGCACGTGATGGTCACATCTAGAACTCATTAATAATTCATGAGCAAATTAGCGAATGAACTCACCCTAATTCGTCACATGATTGAGGTTGGATACCGCAAGGAAACACGCTAAAAATCATATACCATCACTGTTGTTAGATGAAAAACGGTTTTCATCTAATAACTGAGATCCTAATTACAAATTCAAGTCAAAACACAACAATATACTATAATAATTACTGACGGTCATAATAACCTATTGTTTTCTCTCTGCATTATATCATCAGCGAATGTCGAGAAGCTAAAATAGCACCCAGCATTATTAAAAATAATGCAGCGTGCACACAGCATTATTAAAAATAATGCAGCGTGCACACAGCATTATTAAAAATAATGCAGCGTGCACACAGCATTATTAAAAATAATGCAGCGTGCATCAGTGCACACAGACATTATTCGCAATCCTTCGTCATCCTGACAAGTACACGCGATAACGTGAACATCTCAAGATGAGGAGTTGACAGTGCTAAAGGCCCCTCATACAATATCATCGGGCGCCTGAAGCACTGCCAAAACGGTCGCTGTGAGTTCTTTCAGCTCAACTTTATAGAGAAATAGTTTCGTTTGCGCTTGTGGGATTTTATCCTAGATATACGCATGTGCAGAACACACCATAACTTCTATTCCCGTGTTTATCCAGTTTAATAATGTTTTCGTTCGAGATGTTATGTAAACAACTCGTTTCTCGTGTTTCATCAGGGGACCAAACACTCGAAAACAATAAAACACTCGCGCTTTGCGCTCGTGTTTCATACAGTTTTCTCGTGTTTGGATCCCCTGATGAAACACTCAAACTCGTTGTTTACATATAACATGAAGTACACAATGAACCATTGATGAACAATGCACAATAGCATAATTTAATTAACATGAAACAATGTGTATGACACTGTCAGAAAGCAGTTAGTGTATTAGAGTCTTAGTGTCAGAGTAGAGCTGACTGTAGTCCGAGCGTTTTGCATCTATCAAAAGCTACGCACAGGACGCACAACATTCAAAATACATATGTGATAAAAAGGAACCTTGTTGTTGGTGTCAGTGATATTGATATTCTTCTGTTGAGCTATTACCCCTACGGCCCCGACGACCCTGCGCTAGGTCATGTTTGAGTAAGTTGTATTATCATTTTCCAGCTGATCTTTTGAAATCATCGCTGCATAGAGAACCCATCTCTGGTCAGACAAAAAGTGTCCAATTTGCTTAACAAGGAGGTCGACATCGTCCGCTAGCTTATGTGGATGAGTTTGAGAAAGATGGAGCTCAGATGCGGGCTGCTTATTTGACGAGATATCTCATCCGCCTGATTAAAGATTGCTTCCTCATAGTTGTATCGATATTTTTACACGTCCATGATAGCTTGTTTCCCCTGTTCCTTGAGTACTGGGATGATTTCCTCCCCCATCAAAGTGCTGGCATTTTTCTTGCGTTCCTGGGGTAAGGGATGTCAGTCTGATAATTAAGCGAGTCAGCAATATCTCGATATGAGTTCTTTAATTATTAATTAAAGTGAAAAATGAACTTCCAATTTTTATTGATAACCTTGGCTCGCTCGGTTTGTAAGCCCCTAGCTACTTGAAAATGATAAGACCTCGGTTATTGGGAGGATATTGTACCACGATGTGACTTACCCTTCAACAATTTTAAATAGGCCCAAAGAGTGTTCGAAACTCATGATGGTTCGCTTATTTTGAGATCGGTGTAGATGATCACCCACGCACAGTAACCCACGTCCGCGATCATTGATGAACTTTAGGCTTTGCTGATGGTTTTGTTTAACCGGGGGTAAATGAACGGGCGAAATTAGTACCCTCGCCCGGGCTTGCGACCTGAAAGGCGCTTCACGCCGTTGGCTCCGGGATGAATACCAACAGGGCTGACCTGTGAAAATAAAGTAAAAACAATAAGATTGTGTTCGCAATAAAAACGCTAATTTATTCTACCAACCGGGGTACCCTTCATGACTTCCATGCATGTTGATAGCCCGTGTCATCTAATTTTCTTTGTTGCAGATTTTTCCGTAACGCGTCAATGCAACTGCCTTTATATTATTTTCCAGCAACACGTTTGGAAATGAAAGATACAAAAAAGTATGGTTTTCCAATATTTTAAATGAACTTAATTCTTACTCAAGCCTCGTGCATGTTTTAATATTCATTAATAATTCACGAGGAAAATACAAATGAAACGAATGTTTAATCAATGTTTGTAAATCGGATAAGATCTGTCCTGATTCACATAAACTTCAGCTTTGATTTTCTCGGCCTCGACGATGTTTATTTTTGAAATTACTTCGCCAATGAACTCATAAGATATGGGTCGTTTTTTAAGTACGATAAAACATTCGCATCCGATCTGTATCTGATATGCAAACCTTCGCCATCGGCTCGAGTTCATATATAGTACATGTTGACATCTTTAAGAACTAGTTAAAACTTGAGCAGCCGATCTTTATCTGAAATACAAACTCGAGCCGATGGCGAGAGCTTGTGTATCAGATAAAGATCGGATGCGAATGTTTTATCATGCTTAAAAACGACCCATCTTATGAGTTCATTGGCGAAGTAATTTCTAAAATAAATTGTCTAAGCTGAGAAAGTCAATGCTAAACTTCGATAATTTCCCCCTTTCAAAGGAAGAGAGGGGCTGCAGACAACACATGAAGAAACGAAATACGCCCACATTTCGCACCGCCCCTTTTTTCCCATATAATTATTTTGTAAACAAGTAACTATTTATTACAGTGGCCGACAAGGGCAACACAAATATATGTCAAAACAAACAAATATGTTAAAACAGAGTTTCATTAGCAAACTTCCATACTATGTTACACATAGCAGCGAACACAAATTTATTTAGCGAAAACAAATTTATTTAGCGAACACAAATTTATTAGCGAGCACAAATTCATTAGCGAACACAAATTTATTAGGGAACACAAATTTATTAACAAACACAAATTTATTTTGCGAATTAATACAAGTGAATACAAGCGCATACTGATATTCCACGAAGTAGTTAATTATGTGAAATACGTAATCTTTCATTGCGGGCGCAGAAACTTGCTCGCGCCGTGTCACATGTACAGAATAAGAAATTCTGTGGCCGCGTGTCATTCGTGGCAAATATGCATGGTTCACGGATCAGTAGGTTTCGTCGTTGTGGCTCAACTATTGAAACGAATTTGAAGTTTTGTTCACAATGAGGGCAGTCGGTAGTAATTATAGTATTGACAACGAAGGCTCTTTGCCAGCTCCTCCCCGCTCGACCAGTAACGAGACTACTTCTACGAGTGCACCCACCAGTATGGCTCCGACGGCGACAAAAAGTCGAAATCGACCACAAATATGTCACTATGCAGGTACAGTGCCTTCAAGTGAGTGAAAGAAAAGGAAAAGATCTCTTTGATTGTGCGGAAAAAAGGGTCGAAACGAGCGAAGCCAAACGACAACAACGTCAAAATAACCATCTCGGTAATGAAGCATGTCACAAAGATTAAACGATGAGACTCACTGCCGCCGAAAGTACCTGCCTCGTCCTTGACAAAGAAGATCCTTGATGCAGTAGTTATGAAGCATGCAACGTTCAATAAATGTTTCAATTCCAAACTGAAATTCGCACCAGTGTTTAAAGATTGGACTGAAGTCATCACTGTTCCTGGAACTGATCCTTCTAATTTCTGCATAGAGCCGGACACATGGCAGCATTATTTGCCTCAGGGCTTGGGTGTTGCTATTATTTTTTGCATGCGCTAGGGCATTGTACATGAAAGGGAAGAAAGTATAAATGGCTATTCCAATTTTAATCTGCATACACTCCCCTTGTTGAGGGCCCTTGGAATTAAATTTAGAATTTTTCCAAAAAGGATTTTAAATATTTTTGAAATCATTCACATTTCCAGTTTTCCAAGGGTATTACATGCATTTTCAAGGGGGAAAAGTCAAATTTACTTGGATATCCATGGGGTGGGTTGGGAGGCATGTAAATAATTTAAATAGGGGGTTTACTTGCTTGGAAGTTCCATAAGAAGGGCAAGAAAAAGGGTTCCTCGACAGTGGGGGGATTGGAATTGGAATAGCCTGATGACAGGGGTGGTCGGGAGGAGGGATAGGGATGCACATTGCTGCAATTAATTGATGCATAACAACAAAATCAAGACATAACAACAAGATCAGTTGGACTATTAGTAAAACCAGGAACACCGGAACTATGGAACACCGGAACAGCATCATTCTGGAACACGGAACAGCGGAACACTAAAGAATCTTAATTTGTTAAAAATTCGAGAAAAAAATTACCGGGGTGTGTGAAATTATTGCTCACACCGCTTGGATTTCCGAAGAAAATTATTTGCCAATTTCTTCATGGTTGTAAGCCTGGTTGTAAATGCAGACCTACGACATGTACATGTGATGTGGTGATAACCTTGCCAATCCATTTAAACACCAAAGGCAACATGAAAGAGATAATTCACTCTGCTCTTATCGATTGCCTAGATTTTGGATTGTTGTAGCTGTGGTGGACATTATAAAGATTTTACTGTTTCCTGCCATGTTATGTTACTGCGCAGACAAAACTTATTTGTAAATTTATTTACGGGCATGTACACAAGCGACTTCGCCAAGATTTGTTTTCAATTGCTGTTGCATGAGATTGAATACCTAACTTATGAATGTTTTATGGTGTACACACATCATTACATCAAACGTTCTTTAGTGATACAGTCTCAAATCAATTGCATGTGTCAGGAGAAGAAATATCACGCCAAACTTGCTTGCAGAGTAAACACACCATACATGGGCGGTTTTCATTAATGACACGGCTAGACTTGTCAGATCGCTCAAATTGTTCAATGGAACACAAAACGTTTGGGCTTCGGACCAATCTGACCGGAAATTTTAGATAACATTAGAATGAGGTCCATTTTCGCTAGATATTTGAGAAGCATGGACTAGATCTTTCAATTGATACAGAGAAAAAAATTTGGGTCTTACCGGTCAGGCCATTAAATGGAAAGCGCCCAATTACTATGTTATTTTTCTACTAATTACACGTCGTAATGCCTATGTACACTATATAGACTGTATAATAATTATATGGATACCTACAGTACATTGTATGTATGTTCAGTTTAAATCCCTCTGAGATAAAAAATCTATAGCAATTGCAATGCAGTGATCTTGTTGCATATTAGAACCAGACGAACAAGAACCACCAGTCTGAAATTTTGGTGACTAATTACCCAGCATACAACAGCAGGTCAGGTTGACAAACGACACAAGTTCTGTAAAGTTCTTAGCTTCTCCAGTGCAGTTCAAATAGAAAGCATATAGAGAAAATAGAGCGGTACTACACAAGGGTCACTTTAGCCTGATGTAAAAATTGCAGATCATTTATTCAGGTTTTTAATGCACTATACATTGTACAGAACAGTATACACTTTATGTAATTCATCAGCCAATGAGGACTTTAAAAAATAGGTCAATTGATAGATACAGGAAGTTCATTTCTCATCTGGAATATTGGGTGTGCAAGTTGCAAAATTAACTTCGCAATTACTAAAGTACAGAAGTACCGAACTAAAGTACTGAGGTACTGAACATAAACTCGTAATTTTCAGTGTTTAACTCATATATATGACAAACAATTGGATGAATTATTTATTAAATCTTTTAAGAGATACATTTAATTTGTTGACTATACCTGTAAAACACTGTAAATTACGAGACTATGATCTGTACTTCAGTTCAGTACTTTAGTAACTTGCAAAGTTGATTTTGCAAATTCCATGCCCAATATTCTAAAGTTACGTGATATCGACAAAAACATTGTATATAAATGTAACATTACTGTTTTTCAGTTGATTTCATTACATATATAACAGTTCTCTTTACAGATCGAGGGCAGCTATCCAGTTGTAACCTCTTTCTAATTTTTTGTTTGTTAGTATGTATTCAAAGTACTGTTGATAATCGTTCGGGACCTCTTCAAATTACAACACATTTTCTCCGACTAATTCTACCTCTTCTGGCGAAACAGGATGGAATTTATTTTCTCCATCTCTACTTTCCGGAAGCACATAAAGTTCATTGGATTTGCCAGCAATTGTGTCAAACAAGAAGCATGAATTGTATGTGTATTCCAATGTTCTCTCACAAAATCCAGGTCTTGCTGGATTAAACCAGAGAAGCAGAACCATAAACATTCCATTTCAACTTTGAATTCATTCCCAGGAGAAAGTACTCCTGTCTCAACAAGATCCTTGAATAAGTTGATCCACCAGGTAGAGTGATTCCTACGCAAATAAGACCGCCAGCTTTCGATTCCTTGATTAGCTGTAGATTTCCCATACGAGTGAGCATTATTGACATCATATCTAAACAGACATTGCAAATGGCCGTGCAGACTTGTAGCTACCGAAATGGAAGGTATTAAGAGCGACTGTCCGTAAAAATCGAGCAAACAGTGGCAATAGATGAAAAATAGATTTCTTTCATATTTTGCTCAAATTTAGGTACTACCTAGTTATAAATGGTGTTTGGGTTAGATATTCAATATTTGGTCGATAAACGTACAAATATCAGAAATCAAGAATTTGTCTCCGGAAGGCTATAATTAGCGGCAGACAAAGCCGTTGCCATGGTCAATTTCATCACTTCGCGACAGATTCAAAACTGCCCGTAGATAGTTTTGATGGTTTAATGTCTATAATTCAAGTATTAAAGAACAACTTTATATTATCAATATAGAATGGCCCACAGGAGGCTTTAACTGGCCTGACAGACGTTGTTGAAATTGGCTATTTTTAGACAAATTTTACAATTGCATTTTGTCACTGGATTTGAAGGGGAAATTTACTATGTGCGATAATCGTGAATTTGTTTATATTTCATCCACGGAATGGTATAGCATGAGTACATGTTATATATAAAAACTAGCTTGGGTTATTGCCTTGGAGCCTCACGCAAGACTTTTAAAAAAGCTCATTTTGGTGATTTCCAGTGGAATGTAACACAATTAAATCATTAGGCCCATACGATATACCAGAGTCACGAAGCTCAAATTGTTCAAAACTTTGAATTTTGTGTTTTGATATCAATGTATATGCTTTGTATACTTTATAAAGAATCGTTTAGAAGGATTTTCAATATATTTTAGTGATAGGCCTACTTACAACAAAAGTACAACAAATCATCATATCATTACTAGACTATAACGTTGCTATTTATAGCAATTCGCGTGTTGTTACTGAATGTATATTTAATATGTCTGCAGTCTGTAAGCTTTGAGGTCTTATAATTTCTCATTTTTTTTAATGCTTTCTATTCATATGTAAACTAATAGAATTAAAGCTAGGTAAATACAATAAAAGTACATAAGTTGGAACATGTATATGTTTACACTTTACGCTAGACATTTTTCTGGACTCTCCTGTTACGAAACTAACAAACAGGTGACGAGTTAGCCTGCGAACAGGCTCTCAAGCTGAATTGAGAGCCTGCATCGATGACTAATGAATTTGAATATCTGCCCGTAAGTATTCGTTTTTCCAAATATGGAATGTCTATCCTTATATGGTGTTGTTTACAACTTTCGTGCAAACTAAATTTAGACCGTGCAAACTAAATTTAGACCGTACAGTTTATACTGTTTTTCGAAATATAAGATATTCAAGCAAAAGTTTAAATGTTTTAAATACTGTTTTCTCAAAACAGAACATTTCGTGCTTTGAGATAAGATGGCCAAGACCAATTTGATCAGTTAATGTGTTTTTTATGCATAGTGCTTCAGCAGTTGACATATATAGAGCTCAGCGGAAACATATAAATTATAGCATCTGACCAATGAGAATTTCGTGTCACGATTTGAGACACAGATATTCAAATTCATTAGTCATCGATGCAGGCTCTCAATTCAGCTTGAGAGCCTGTTCGCAGGCTAGTGACGAGTTAAAACTATAGTGCGAGGCATGCGAGGCAGCGAGGCACGAGGCACAATGCGAGGCACGAAAAAAAGTGCGAAGCATGCGAGGTAGAAGTGCGAGGCATGAAAAAAAGTGCGAGGCATGAAAAAAAGTGCGAGTCAGGCAGACATGGGCGTACCGAAATGAAAAAATTAGGGGGGCGGAAAGAAAATTGCCCGAGTTTTCGGATTCTGCCCGACAATATTTTTCGGAACATAACACAAATTTTCCAAAAATCACAACATTTGCGAAAAAATTGACTTAATTTTAGACAAAATTTACTGAATTTGTCCCATTTTTTTTTTTGGACACCAAAATTGCCCGACTGTTGATCGAATATTGCCCGACTGCCCAAAAAACTGGGGGGGGGGCTGCCGCCTCCCCCCGCCCTCCCCCCGCCCTCCCCCCGCTCGGTACGCCTATGCAGGCAGATGTGCCAGTGGGAGGCAGACACAATGACTGACTCCAAAATTTGACGATATTTAACATATTGAACATACTTAACTTGACGCTGGACAAACGGACAAATGTGAACGACATTCTAGTTTTAATAACAGTTCTGTCTATACATTATAGTTTTAAATAACTACAGCACTCCAGGCAAAACATCAAAAAGTAAACATTAACCTAGACAATAGCTCAACAAGTGACAAGCTTCACTAAAAATTATGGAATATTAACTATATTTTGCGTTGTTCATCTGTCAATTGAAAAACTACGTTCATACAAACTCAATAAGGTTTTATAAACGAATTTCTGGGTAATTTGGAAATGCATTCAAACCAAGGGAAACCAATGGCCCAAGGGCAGTAGAAAAAAAGGCCGTCAGGACTCGCGGGATTGCCTCACATGCCTCGCAGCCTTCCTCGCATCAGTGGCATGCCTCGTATGCCTCGCGGCATGCTACAAATAAGAAAAAGATATATGTACATGGGCAAAATTAAAACAGTCAAAAACTCAAAATGGTTGTCAAAAACTCAAAATGGAAGCGACAAAGAGCGACTTCGATGTTTTGCCCGAAAATGCAAGCGGAATAATGAACGTGACAACCTAAAAAGTAGAAATAATTATAGTCTATACATATGCAAGAAGTAGTTTATGCAAGAAAATAAACCAAAAGTGACTGTCGATAAATTTATTGTATAAAACGTTCTTTAATTAACTGAACCATACAAAGATATTTTTCGTAGGTTCATAAGTTCGGTATTCGACAATTCTTCAAGATATGTTACACGCTTCCTGGTCTTAATTTAAACGGTAATTTTTAATTTAAATTCTGTTTCTCTTTAAATTTTTACTGCAATGTTAGAAAACTTTTTATTAATATCTAAACTACCCGTCTAATGTATTTTTTTGTTTGTTTCAATTACCTTAAATAATTAAATAGCAATGTTTTTGAAAGTTTACAATTTGGCATGAGCAGATGTTTCCCCGCGGTGTTCGTTTCCACCATTTCCAGCGAAATAAAACCCAATTTCTGCAATTTCCACTTGTTACGATAGTATTCATAGGTGTTGTGATAATTGTAAACCCAGGGCTGCAAGATTACCACTGAAAAAGGAATTAATTCCAATTACAATAACTTGCTTTAAAATGTAATAAATTCCTGATTACAATTACTTGATCTAAAATGTAATTTTGAGTACAATGAAAAAATTACTGCGGAAAAAAGGAATTAATTACAAATTCCTTTACCGGCAAATTGTTACTATATATATTATAATATCTTAAACAGTAGTTGTAAATAAAAACGGCATAAACTATGAAATTTGCAAGAATTTATCAAGATGATATTTCAATATTTTAAAAATTTTACATGCAAATCGAAGCATGTAAACTCTTTATTTACCAATATTTGGCGCAATAAATTAAATAGTACTTCATGTAGGCTATCATGTCATGTGCAGTGATCTCGTTGAAAATTATTTCAGCCATTTTTCTGAATTTTTGTCGTAACGTTGTATTTTTTATTTCTCACTTTTAACAAAATAAGAAAAGGAATTTTCAACTTGCTCCTCGGAAAAGGAACACGTTCCTTGCTTTGGTAATTAATTACGTTTTTCGTTACATTTCTAAAAACGTAATTAATTAGAGGTTAAAATTACTTCAAATGTAACGAGTACACAGTAACGCGTTACAATTGTAACGAGTACTTGCAGCCCTGTGTAAACCATTGAAACGAGTAAACTACAGTCTACAGGAGGAATTTGTAAAAAAGACGAGAAGCTAAACGAGTAAAGAGTGGGGACTAATTATTTGTTATGGCAAAACATAAATAATCCGAACTGTTCACATGCAGGGGCACCCATTACAGTGTAAAAATGCCAAGTTTGACTAAATTTTATTAAGTTGTCATCAAAGATATCAGAAAATTACAGAATCAGTCAATCAAGATTACGTTCATTTCCACGCAGTGTAGGACATCATTTACAAAGTATCTGCTTTAGCTACTGTTTTAATATTGTAGTTTACTTTTTTGTTTTTACTTAACACCCCCCCCCCCACCCCCACCCCCCTATATATATACGAGCAGTGAGGCAGCTATAAATTTTATACAGTTGTTATTCAGTTGACAGCTATAGTTTTTCATTATAAAGCCGCTCAACATTGGCATTGATTTTATTTTCCAGATTCCACTAACAAACATTTTAAAATTATTTATATATTCATAGGTATATAGATTTGCTTTGTAAATAATCTAAGAACTAAACCCATCTTTGTCAACTTGTTTTTATATTATTTCATAGTCTTTTATATCGTATCATGGTCTGAAACAGACTACCTGTCTGAACTACCGCAAAATAAGCTTTTTTAAAAGTCTCGCGTGAGGCCCCACGGCAATAACACCAGGCAGTTTTTATATACAACATGTATCCATGCTATAGCATTCCGTGGACGAAATATAAAAAATTCACGATTATCGCACATAGTAAATTAACCTTTTAACTTATGTACTTTTATTGTATTTACCTAGCTTTAATTCTATTAGTTTACATATGCAGAGAAAGCATTAAACAAAAATGAGAAATTATAAGACTTCAAAAGCTTACAGACTGCAGACATATTAAATATACATTCAGTAACAACACGAGAATTGCTATAAATAGCAAAGTTACAGTCTAGTAATGATATGATGATTTGTTGTGCTTTTGTTGTAAGTAGGCCTATCACTAAAATATATTGAAAATCCTTCTAAACGATTCTTTATAAAGTATACAAAGCATATACATTGATATCGAAACACAAAATTCAAAGTTTTGAACAATTTGAGCTTCGTGACTCTGGTATATCGTATGGGCCTATATAATGATTTAATTGTGTTACATTCCACTGGAAATCACCAAAATGAGCTTTTTTAAAAGTCTCGCGTGAGGCTCCAAGGCAATAACTCAAGCTAGTTTTTATATATAACATGTATACTCATGCTATACCATTCCGTGGATGAAATATAAACAAATTCACGATTGTCGCACATAGTATATTTCCCCTTCAAATCCAGTGACAAAATGCAATTCTCAAATTTGACTAAAAATAGCCAATTTCAACAACGTCTGTCAGGACAGCTAAAGCCTCCTGGGCCATTTCATATTGATAAAATTGTTCTTTAATACTTGAATTATAGTCATTATACCATCAAAACTATCTACGGGCAGTTTTGAATCCGTCGCGAAGTGATGAAACTGACCATGGCAGCGGCTTTGTCTGCGGCTAATTATAGCCTCCTGGAGACAAATTCTTGATTTCTGATACTTGTACGTTTATCGACCAAATATTGAAAATCTAACCTAAACACCATTTATAACTAGGTATTACCTTAATTTGAGCAAAATATGAACGAAATCTATTTTTCATGTATTGCCGCAGAATTCAAATTTTGCTCGATTTTTACGGACAGTCGCTCTTAAACTCGACTTAGTAATTTTAAATAAAAAGACAGAATCAGGTACATATAGACAAGAAAATGGTTTAGAATCAGAGCGATTTGTGACCAAAACGCATTGTGAAGCACTTCAACAAAATATTCAGTTGATAAAAAATGCACAAAATGCTGAAGTCGAAGAACTCAATAGAACTGTCTATTATCTTAAGACAAAGGCATCTAAAGCCGAGGAAGAAAGGGATTCTCTAACACATTGATTAACCTTAGTCATGCCACAATATGATTAAATTTTCCAGGTATAGCAACGTTACGAATGAGGAGACAAACAAAGCTAAAAAATCCTCTCCCAAAGAAAGACCTATAGGCATACAACAACGCAAAAGCAAAGAGTCCGGACTTCCATTGACAAACAGATTCGAAAGCTTTCAGGATGAGAATGATATGACCATGAACTGTAACTTGGAAACTAGTGTCAGCAGTGAAACCTCTAAGTCCCTGAATCATGCTACATAACATTCTGTGTCCGGTTCAAGACCTGTGCCTAGAAAGAAAAATATTAAACAACAACAAAAAAATCCTAAACAAAAAACTACAATTGTACTCGGCGATTCAATGGTCAAGCACCCGAAAGGATTGGATATCGGTAAAGCAATTGGACACCGTGTGGTCGTTAAAGCTAGTTTTTTAGGCGCCCGTACAAGCGACATGGTTCATTACAGCAAACCAAGTATTCTTCAAGAACCTGATCAAATAATTCTACACTGTGGTACGAACGATTTACATAATTCTGGACCAGAGGCAGTTGCAAACAGGATTGTTGACCTCGCGCAAGAAGTTAAGTCAAGCACAGAAGCAAATGTAGTTATTTCAGAATTGGTATGTAGAAGTGACCCAGCTAAAAACGAGAAAGTAAGGGGTACTAATGTTTTATTAGCTAGATTATGTAAACAAAAAACTTGCATGTAATTAACCACTCAAATATAACAACTGAAAAGTTAAATAGAGGTGGTGTACATTTGTTGCACTCAGGAAATGAGCTCAATACCAATAATTTTATAAATTATTTAACGTCTAGTTGAAATGCCGCCACTGCTCCAGTAGACTTTGTGGAAATGAGTTGACGCGAATTCGGGTTGATCATCCTTTTCATCATCAACGGACGGCGTTCCCTCGGAATTGTTGTAGCAATACACGCTTGATATTTGGAGCATCTCCTGGATGGTGTTGTTGTTGTTATCCTTGATCACTTGTAATAACTGTTTTGCAGGTTTTTCATTTCATTATTGCTATCAGATTATTTTCGCACTCGAATTCGCGTTACCTCTGCATCTAATTCTTCATTGTGAATGGTGGAAAACAAGATCTTCTCGTTAAAAATTGCGCATTCCTTTTACACGACGAAGTAGGCAATCGCTGGGTAGCTTTCGGGCGTGTAACTTGTTTCATTGTCGTCGTCTATCGCAGATTTTGCGTTGCACGTGACACTTGTAACGCAGGAAATAAAGAATTGAACGCCGTTCATTGAAGAAACCTCTTGGTCAAGGCGAAGTCCCACTTGGTCAAGGCGAAGTCGCTTTGAAGCGATCTGATTTCTTGCGATGTCAATGCCGGTTTCAAGCACTCTCCAAACAGCATGGCATGCTACCGCTTCCAACTGTTCGGTGATCTAGACGAACTTAATAAATTGACTGCATGAATTGCCGTGAATTCAGCTGCATGACATGATAGGGCCAATGGGCCAATACATTGAGTTAATTTTGCTCAATAAACATCATCATCATCATCATCATCATCTTCATCTTCTTCATCATCATCATCATCATCATCATCATCATCATCGTCATCGTCATCGTCATCGTCATCGTCATCGTCATCGTCATCATCATCATCATCATCATCATCATCATCATCATCATCATCATCATCATCATCGTCATCATTATTATTATTATTATTATTATTATTATTATTATTTAATTGAAAGTCTAATTATGTGATATATTTGTATAAATTATCATGTTATTAATAAAGATTTCTGTTGTTTAAAAATTATAGGTTTTTTTTCGAAAAAAGCCGTATATTTCGGTATTTTGAAAAGTGAACTTTGTTGCATCATTTGGAATAAATGCAAAAGCTGCTGGTATTGTTTACGGGATAAATGCTTTAGTTTGTAGCCACTTCAATCAGATTGGTCAACTATTCAGTATAACTATATTGCATCAGTGTGTATATTGCTAAAATTTAATACTATATTTACGATAGTTTTTCACGCTCGAAAGCGTTTTTTTATTTGTCATACTTTTTTGCACTGTTTTTGACAAAGCAACTAAAATTGATTGACTATTTACTGTTGTAAGTACTTCTATTCTTCTATCTTTCCACGTTTACCTGATTTTAAATTGTTTTTGTGAATAATACTGATGGTATTGAAGTGGTTATTAACAATGCTTGCAGTTTTGTTGATTTGTTATGGCGACGAAAGTATTAATTTTTTGCAAAAATCAACACGTCCAGAATTTAGCGAAATACAAGAAAAACAACCGTGTCAATAAAAATATATTTAACTAGAATTACTAAAAAATACATGGGGACCAAAACTAGTCTCATATTTGTTTCAAAAGAAGCATAAATCTGCGACGTTCTAAACAGGAAGGGAAAATTGTATATTCACGTCGTGAAATTATGAAAATCATCCGTCTCTTTGCATATTCGAATATGAAATTGAAATCACGAACCTGGAAATGAAATTGTTTGTTTCATAGTACAATGGTTTGATAGACTGATTAAATCTGAGAACTTTTTTCTGCACACTAAGCAGCCAGTGTTATATATACTATATATACAAATATAGTTACTCAAGCGACTTGTCTTAAGTAAAATGCAAAAGACTTTAATGTGATTAATACCATCTAGTGATCGTTTCCTTACTATCCAATGGCTGCTGTAACAAACAGCTGTTCAATAAACTTATGAAACACACCAAACAGATTAGCGCAGGAGTCGTACGCCCGTATTCTAAAAGCTTACTTACACTGGCACTCAATGAGTGGAAGTTCAATCTGAGCTTCTCTCGAGCGTCATTGCTGTTTTTGAATAGCTGGAGGGCTAGTGTCATACCTTACTATGTGACTACTCACCATCTAGCTATTCAAAAACAGCATTTACACTCAAAAGAAGCTCAGATTGAAGCTGCACTCATTTAGGGCGAGCTTTTGGAATACGGGCGTTAATTTCTTCCACTCACTCTCTCTTTCTCTCTCGTCCTTTTTCCTCCCGTGTTTTTCCTCCCGTGTTTTTCCTCCCGCGTATATATATACCTTGTGATTTCATTACCGGCTGCTTTGATGCGACTGTATTGAGATCATGTATGGATATGTATTTAATTTGTTTTATATTCATTGGCTGTCATGTTAAATTGGACATACTTGAGCTCCCCCTGGTATAAAATAAAGCAAGACATTAATTAAAAGTACAAAATCGTGTCGGAGTGTACGCATCCGCCAATTGCCTTTAATTGTTGAATACCATGTATACATCGGCAATAGGTCACGAGAGTTGCTGCCAATATGTAACAGAAAGAGCCTTGTCAAGTTGCTACGATGTTTTCACTTTCAAATTATTAAATTGCAAGATGATCACATATTATTGAAACGGCTTTTAAGAAGTCTGCTGAGACATGGAACATTGTGACTAATTGTGTACATACGTTCACAACTTTTCAACAAGTTGGAAGAAGGCATTGAGTCAAGCAGCTGAGTTAAACACATGTACAAATTTGCTAAAGTTTTGGTACATTTTGTGTATGTGTCTATTGTTTAAATGTTAGAGAATCAGTGCAATACAGCTGCTTTAAAAATCGCTAAAGTGAAAGACATCATTATAACATACAATATGTATATATAATGTCTGACAACATACAAATCATGTGGGCGATCAGATTATCGTCACATGTTATTGGAACTTTATACATGTTCAAAATTTTAATTGTCACAATTTTATATGATTATTTATGATCACAATATAGTCAGACTAAACGATACCAAACTTTAGCTTGAAGCATTGAGCTAATGCACGCACGCGTGGTTTTGAAAATTTCCGGCATTTCTGTGTGATGCTTTTATTAATTACAATACTTAATATAGAGCGTCACTCTTTTCTTCTCAAGGTATTTGGAGGATAGTGTTTTGTCTACCTAGTGCATTTGCTATCTTCGGAAAATAAAGATCAATATTTACAGGAATTGTGAAATCAGTTGGTTCTAGCATTGCCTTATATTCCTAGTTAGACTGTTTGTCATAAGCGTTGCAGCCTTTATGCTTATTTCGCCTATAGTACATGCTAAGCACAACCCAACATAATTTAAAGCCAGTCTTATACGCTCTGTGCAAGGACCAAATATTGATATGGCTTTGAACATTGGCTGCCAATATTGCCCAACTTATGCCCTTCCTCAACGTTGGTCACTCGCTGCTCTTGCTTAATTAAAAGTCGTCGTGCATGGAGCTTCCGCTGATACAAAGCAATACAACAGAACCACCGTTCGCAACCTGAAAACCACATGGTCTGGTTACTCTTCTTATAATTCGATGTTAGTCCTGTGTTTTATGTTTCAGATATTCCGCTAGTTTCCGTGTAATATCCTTTTTGAGACTTATTCATGCTAGCCTGCAACATGTGTAGCGCATTTGATATACCTAATCGTGAATTATAGACATTGTGAACTGTGCAATGCTGATAAAATACACTTGTACGCTAAATTTGCAGTTTTAGCTTGTAGTGAGTTTTCAGGGCCCAAAGTGTTTTTTAGCAAACATGTATATATGAAGACTAGAGTGTTGGCCTAATGTAGTTTTCATAAACTGCCATATGTCTAAGTTGAACAACCCACGCAGCTACACAATCCCAATCTTGAAAGCAAAAACAGGAAGTTTTAGACCACGAAAAACAGGACATTTTTCAGTCTTACATTTAGATTCCATAACAGTATGTGGCCCTTGTGTTTACAAAAACATTTATTGACACGATTGCCGTTTGTTTCGAGTATTATTTAATTACTGACGTTTTTACTCCGATTAACATTTATAAATTTATATTTACGTCAACGTATTGAAATTAAAAATGGAAAGTTAATAATTGCAATGTATAATTGCCTCCTGTTTTGAAAAACAAATATTTGATTATGAATGCTATTCATGATTTTGAAAACTTCCTGTCATGAATATATAGGTATAGCATCAGGCACAGGAAACAAAAATCTAACCTCCAATTTAACCTTCTAGTCCGTTTAGATTTTCTCCCTTGATCTTGTCAATTTTTTTATGCATTAAATTAATTCAAGAACTTACTTTAAAAAGTGATGTACGTCAACAACCCTCGTAGTATCTTGAAGGACGGCAGTAAAATGCATGAATGCTTGCGCATCCTGTATTCGCTAACGCCCACAGAAATGTAGAAATGTTATCGCAGAATGTAGACCAAAAGTAATTACGTATGCACAGCACGAGTTCCCATCGCCATGCTCTTTACAATGTAAAAGAGTTGGGGTTTTTTTGTAATTGTAAACAAGTGAACGCCAAAAGTGCCTGTAATCTAACAAATAACCTCAGGAAAAGAGTATCTTCGTAATTCTGAGGTATACTCCCAGCAAACTAAAATTTATTCTATAATATAAAAGGCGTTTATATCAAAGTGCATCTCCGTGAGTACCCATAGCAATTATTTTTGGGAGTGTTTAATTGCTTTTGAAATCAACAAAGAACATTTATCGTATTTATAATCTGCAGTGATTCGGAAAATATTTTTTAAATGATCACAAGAATACAAAACCTCAAACCAATTGCGTTTCTCCGTCTTACAGACTATAACCTCCGTGTGAACAGGCCTTCACAGGAAGCATTGCCGTTGTACTACAGGTATGTTTATATAGCTATAGTAAGTTTATATTGTTTTGTCAGCAAATATTAATGTATCGGAATATACTGTAACTACTCGTTATACCAATTTCTATGTGTTTTGTATTTGGATATTTGTTAATAATAAACTACAACATCCCTTAATCAGGATCTTCATATGCGTGCGTGTATGGATAATACGTTACAGCCTGCCTGGCATTGAAAAAAACAACTGTGAACAATACAACCATGCATATTTATTGTTACGTTGCAAGGCTTTGGAAAGGTGGAGAATGTTGAAATAACGAGCGCGATCTTCCATAATTTCAACCACAATATATACTTATGAGACAGGTTGTTCAAAGCAAGATCAGCGCAAACGGGTTAAATTTAACCAATTGCCTTGGTTTACCTTATAGTGTGATAGTGTAAAATTACAGATGCTGCTGTTATAAAGCCAAGAAAGGCGGCTGTCAATGAAATATGATAAGTTCTTTGGAAGCTTTCGCACCGTGGTTCAGATTAGGTTTTCATCTCCGTATATAGCAGGAAACTCTTTAAATAACAACAGAGACCAGTGGTTGGACTTGCCCACAAGTCGATCTCGAATAGCGAGCGTTGAGCGGCAAAGCCGCGAGCCGCGAGATTTGCTTGTTTCGCTTGCAGAAATTTGGATCGGATTAAAATTCTGGCGGGAAAATTATTGCAGCTGCAGTTAATTATTACGCATGTAAGTTTCACAAAAGTTGTCAATATCAGCTCAATTTGTAAATAGCTCAAATTTTAAAACACAGTAATTTCTAATGACAATAACTGTTAAAATAACATAAGCGGTTGGACAAAATGCTATCAATTTAAATTAAACTAAAATGCCGTATAAATTTACAGTATAGATTTATATTGTCTTCTTCCTATTACTATATTTTATTTAATTAACGGTTTCAAGACGTTCTCCAAATTCCATGGATGATGTAAATAAGCGACGGCGATTCTTTCCCGGACATAAAAAGAAGAATGTTTGCGAAAACATTGAACTATTACAGTAATAATTGGAAGATTTCGTCGTAGTGAAACATTCCCACAAATGCTGTTTGCCGTTCTTGTAGGGACAAAAACGGCGCTTTAGTTTAGAAAATTAATTCAGTCAAACAACAGTTCGCCTCTGTTGCCAATATTTTATTGCATATTTGAGAAGAACAGTATTCTCTACTTTGAAACGACGTTGTTTTATTGTTTATTTATATTAAATAAGTCGAAAGCCTAATCTCTGTAACGACATTTCAATAATTAATTCAAATGACAATAGAATAATGACAAAACCCCAATCAAACCCCGGTCAAAAAATCCACCGGTATAGATTTAGCGCACTGCAAATGAGAAAAGTCCTTTCCAGCATACATACGACCGCGAAAAGAAAAAAACTGGGAAGGACTTTGGGAAAGTCTAACCAGTGGTCAGACCAATAAATTGTTTTACAGTTGCTAAATTTTAGTTCAGTTAAATTATTGTTTATAGGGTATATTGTCCGTTGCACATTGTTGCCTTGCTTTTCTGTTTTTGAAGGCTAGAATATATATAGGAGCCATAATAAAGCAAATGAACTGAAAATTGACTTTCATTAATTATTAAACAACTTATCATACTATATTCGTTGGATTTTGAAGCAGCATAAAACTATATCAGAACTAGATTGAGTGATCATGTATACACCTTGTAATATTACTGATGTTGTTTACGATGTATGTATGAATCGAGGTCTAATCCCCGAGCCAACGGCGCGCAGCGCCGTTCTGGGCGTATAAGCCAGAGGAGAGGGTAGTAATTCCGCCCGGTTATTTACCCCCTTTGCCAACGAAATTGTTGACGTAGAGTAACGTGTCAAACCAGCCAGTGTAGCGTATTTGTCTTTAACATACATATCATTATTTCGTCAACACTCAAATTCTTTTCTTTCTGATATAATGACGCGACAATATGTGTTCCCCCATTTCTATGTATAGCCAGTTTAAGAGGCAGTCTATGTAAGAACCTCATGACCTCTTTGGATCAAGAAATAGATTTCTCTCAAACTTGGTACTTGAGATTGCCTTTATAAGGGTTGCTTCAAAATGCATCTTGTTTTCAGTCTAACTGCATTTTGGCAAAGTTCCAGGGGGGGTCAAGTTGAGGGCTAAAATTATGATTTTTGCTGTTTCTCAATAGTGGATTTTTACTGATCCCTAAACCTCTCTACATCAAACAAAAATAATGATAAAACTAAATCGTTCCACACAATAGTAGCCTTATATGTCTTAAGTAAAAAGGTATCTACACATTTTTCAAATATGTTTTCTAATTATAGAAATGACATCATTCATGACAGACTAAAATAGAGATTTCCAAGTTCCTTAAAAATTGTTGAAATAAAAATCCTAAAATTCAAAAGTTAGACTTGCCATGAATGTAATATTATTTGTATGGTGGGATTAAAGGTTGGTCTTACATAATGTAAAATTAAATATTGCGGCCTGTAAATTCTGGGGGTACGACAGGCCAACAAATAATCAACATTTTCGACTTTCGGTAGTTTAGATCAAATAAGAATGTTCACCGTTTACTGTAAACTCTGCTTTCAAAGACCGAGATTTTACTTATTATTTTGACCTAGAACAGTGATAACATTCGTTTGACCTTTGCTGTTGTCTAAGGTCTTTTAGGGAAATGCACTGACACAGGCATTTCCCGTTATGTAGGACCGTATTGTACAAATAATAAAAATTTTCTAGCTGAATATAAACGAAACAAGTTATAAATTTGCAACAGGTAAAGATGTCCGTTAGTCAACAAATTATCGATCATCGATTTACTTTAAAGATTTATTAGTTTTATATTTTAAAAGTCAAGAGAAAAGTACTGCAATATTAAATTAACTAATACAAGGATATGCCTCGAACGACAGCCTTGTCATTGAATGACCCCGATTGTCAGTAGACTTACTATTTGACTTTCGTCAGCTGTCATTATTCTTTAGTGTTAATCCCTTTCGATATCTTAATGATTATTGTAGACACAGTCTTGTAAATAAATCTTGATTAGTCTTCATCAGCAGCCTATGCTAGTCAATTTCTCTGTTGTTTTTACTCCATTTTGTTATTGTTATGGCGGAAGCTGCTGACCAGCCAAATAATTCGGCTCTCAAACGTTGGCCCGTCGCATTATTAATCCGCACTCCCTCCCCCTATCGAGGACATCCATTTTTTGTCCCCCCTCCCTCCCCTAGAATTTCCAGATATTTTAAGCGAATTTTTAGCCTCCCCTGTGGAATTTCCGCAGATTTTTATTGAATTTTAGCCATGCCCAAGGAATTTGCGCAAATTTTTTATGAACTTTTAATCCATCCCATGGAAATTCCTTGACAGTTTTTGATCTAGCCAGTGGAAATTCCGTACTGATTCTTTGATTAGTAGCTATCCCTTGGAAAATTCCTTGCTGATTTTTATCCTATCCTTTGGAATTTCTTTTCCATTCTTGACCTCCCATGGAAATTCCATACGTTTTACTCATTTTTCTTACCTACCCTTTGGAATTTCCGCAGATTTGCTTTAAAATTTGGACCCTCCCATGGAAATTTTGGAGATTTTGGCTCCATCAAACAAAGATCATGATAAACCTACATCCTTCCGAAAAATAGTAGCTTTATATGCTTTAACTGACAAAGTATCTATAAATTTTTCTGATATATTTTCCAAATATAGAAATGTTTATGTATTTAGAAAAATTAGATTTAGTCTGTTTCATTCTTGACGGAGCAAAGCTTAACATTATTTCCGGACAAATATTTTAAATAAACACATTTTAATATTAAAGATATAACAATTGCCCAAGAGCTTTTAGCTCATCAAGGGGCTCTTGTTCTATTTACAGGAATTTGGTTGCAAGTAGGCGGTAAATATATTATGTCAATTTAAAATATAACAGGACAAATTAATATAACCAAATATTAGAAATTTTTAGAATTGGGACCAATTTCATAACTTTTACCAAACATTGACAAACTTTTGCCATGTTTGACCTGCTGTTTCGAAAGCAAACAATTCGCGACATGTTGCACATGTTTATAACAATGGAGGAATGACTAGCATTGCCTGTTGGCAAAAAAACAAGATTTTATACATATGAGACTGTGTCTAAAATAATCATAAGATGTCGAAAGTGATTAATTTAAATCCCTAAAGAATAATGGCAGCTGACGAATGTCAAATAATATGTCAACTGACAATCGATTCGTTGATCGAGGCATATATTATCTTTGTATAAATTATATTGGGGTAGGTTTTCTCTTGACTTTTTGAATAATCTTCAAAGTAAATCGATGTTCGATAATTTGTTAACTAACGGACATCATTACCTGTTGCAAATTTATAATTTGTCTTTGTTTATATTCTGCTAGAAAATTTTTATTATTTATACAATACGGCCCATACTTAACGTAAATGCCTGTGTCAGTGCATTTTCCTAAAAGACTTTAGACAACAGTAAAGGTCAAACGAATGTTATCACTGTTCTAGGTCAAAATAATAAGTAAAATTTCGCTCTTTGAAATCAGAGTTTGCAGTAAACGGTGAACGTTCTTATTTGATCTAAACTACCGAAAGTCGAAAATGTTGATTATTTGTTGGCCTGTAGTACCCCCAAAATTTACAGGCCGCAATATTTAATTTTACATTATGTAAGACCAACCTTTAATCTCACCATACAAATAATATTACATTCATGGCAAGTCTAACTTTTGAATTTTAGGATTTTTATTTCAACAATTTTTAAGGAACTTGGAAATCCCTATTTTAGTCTGTCATGAATGATGTCATTTCTATAATTAGAAAACATATTTGAAAAATGTGTAGATACCTTTTTACTTAAGACATATAAGGCTACTATTGTGTGGAACGATTTAGTTTTATCATTATTTTTGTTTGATGTAGAGAGGTTTAAAAATCAGTAAAAATCCACTATTGAGAAACAGCAAAAATCATAATTTTAGTCCTCAACTTGACCCCCCTGGAACTTTGGCAAAATGCAATTAGACAGAAAACAAAATGCATTGTGAAACAAACTTTATAAAGGTAATCTCAAGTACAAAGTTTTAGAGAAATCTATTTCTTGATCCAAAGAGGTCATGAGGTTCTTACAGAGACTGCCTCTTAAGCTCCATAGCATTCTTATAGTTTATAATAAGGAATTCCAGCTATCGAAAAACTTGCCGGGAAAGTTGTTGTTCTTCCGTTTCGCGAAAAATGGCGGATGCACAAAAAGCACATTTGTGAAGCACACAAGAGTGAAACACATTTGGTAAAAAGTTACTGATCCATCGAAAACTACCTTTTCCTGGGTTTTCAAGTACATAAATTGATCGTTGCAGTGTACTCTACATTAGACAATTTACCTCTTCCAATAAAATCCTGTAACGAAAGAATGTAGATTTATTGTTTTTATCTATTTTTGATCGCTTGATTTCCATATGTACTGGCAGTTGAATATATATCACCCTTTTTTTGGCCGACAGGTTGTCAACATTTCCCAAGAGCTTAACCTTGATATGCTTTGTGGCGAAAACAAAACTGGCTCACCTGCAACTTTATTGTTGTTTCCTCACAATATCGACTATATAAAGTGATGTTTCTTGGCTGTTATTGAGACTGGTTCTTGGTTATATTTTTGTCGTGGCCATATGTATAAATACTGTAGTCTGTAGTTATAAAAATTAGGATTTTCGTTGCCATGTGTGTATTTGTAGTCATATTATAAAGTTTCCTGCAATCAAAATAAATAACTGAAGGTGTGCCATATATATGAAAAGTCCTTTGTTTCCAAACTCATTTAGATACTAAAATTACAGAGATCTTTGTTCTAGAGTTTGCAGTGGGTTGTTATTACAATGTCCTCCCCTCTAAATATAGTTGTGATACCATTATTGAACAGCTGTTAATCGGAACTATAAGATATAATTGTTTATTATGTAACTATAACCTGGGGTTCCAGTGTCTGCCAAGGCAAAATATGTAATGGGGATTGAAGTTCTGCATGGTGGCCATTAACTTCAAACACCGTTGAATACTGTTTTATGTATATCTTGATGTTGTTTCAATCTAGTTTGAAAAATCCAGGATCCCCGTGCGCATATTACAGGGTTTATATGCAACCTTCAATAGGGGAAAAACTGGCAATCGCACTGTTCTACAACATATTTCTACTCTTTTAATTATTCTATAAATCAAAGGTGCAAGGAGGCTGAAGACATATATTCTAATATTGCACATCCGAACATCCAACAGCATTTTAATCCACAGCAAATGGAGATTGAATTGGGGATGGGATGCCAACAAGTCCAATTATTCCCCTTCCCAAATATTACGCTTGCCTCGCTGTTTGCCTGGCGCAAGTAATAAACAAATCAAACTTGTCCAGAGAGTGGTGGTGGTAGGTAGGCAAGGGAGTGGATGTTTTATGAAAATGCCCATATTCCAAAACAAACACAAATTGCATTTCTCAGATCATGATCAGGGAATTTCGTCTTAATGATTAGCAGGAATGTTTAAATAATGCACGGTAAATGACAAACCTGCAAGACAAGGTAGGCAAACCCTGTGTTGCAAGTCCATTAGTAAAAAGTTTCTTACTGAAGTCGAATTTTAGTTGAGACTATATTTATAAATAATGCATGGTAATAAGCTCGCACGTCAATTTTGAATATAAGCCTTGAATGACCACTACAAATACAATCCGGTTACACATACATGAACATTAATTTGATCTTGTTACCTATGAGATAACAAATAACAAACTGCAATCACTTTCCTCACTGGATGCTGGAACCTCTTTCATGGTTTTATCACGATACGGTGAGACCAAAACACATTGCAGATAATCGCTGCAGAAGTTACAGAGTCATGGAGCGTCAATAAATCCATAGCACAAGATACCAACTCCAAATTCCAAATTTAGTCGATTTTATAATTTTAGCTAACTATAAATATAATGCGAAGGAAATGGACTTCCTTTCTACGCCAAGAGTAACTGAATGCCAACTACAAACGAAAATTGTGTACAGGTAGCTAAAAATTGAGTTACTGAGTATGTTGAGCTTGCTAACTTAACGTGAGCTTAATGGCTGTGTCACCATAGACTGGGCTTCACTCTAAGATTTGCAACTTGTCAACTTCAATTAAATAAAAATGCAGAGGCATGGGAAGATTGGAAAACCCACCTGCCCCCTTCCTCCGTCTGGTGGTGGAGCAGGAATAAACACTGTTCGGTGTAGGGTTAGGGTTGCTGGATCACGTACAATCTTGTTGGTCTTACAGTCAGTGTACAAGGAAGAGCAGTAGGAAATGTACTCTGTGTGTGGGTGTCTAAGTGTCTTAAAATATAATTAACCTTTCCCTCTTCCCAGACTCGACCTCGTGTATTTTCAGTGTTTGAAGGAGTATGTAGTCACAGGACCATGCGCACAGCATATCTTCAATTACCTATTTTGATGGCAGGACACTTTTGCTACATATAAGCATATGACCACAACAAAATGTATAGCAAAGATAAAGTAAATAACCAAGCAAAAGTACTTTTTTATTGAAGGAGCAAAAAGAAAGTTGCTAGTAAACCGGGTTTATCTTCGCGACAAAGCATATCAAATTTGGGACATGTTGAAAACATGCCGGTCAAAAATTTGTGATTTTCAACTACCAGTACGTGAAAATTAAGCAGTCAAAAACGATAAACAAAAAAACAACAACGAATGTAGCTTCGCTCGTTACAATGCTATTATTTGAAAAGTTAAACTACCTAACGTCCTCTTAACGATTACTTTATGTACCTGAAAACAGACTAAAGTGCTCGAGTAATTTTCGAAGATATAATCTTGATCCGTCTGTGCCAGCTAGTGTCGGTAGTGCAAATATAAATTTAGCTGTGGTTGGTAGAGAAGCAATTACCTGCAAAACATTCGATGTTTCGATCGAAGGCTATTCACCAATCTTTTCTTTCTAATTTTTTCATATAGTTTCCGAAGCAAGCTTTTTGCCGAATGAACCTTAGTATTGTGCGAACTGGAGAGCAATTCCTCACTAAATTTCCACTAACTTAGGTCAATTTTTCATCATAAATTTCAAACTAGTCTTTGGAACAAAGCAAAAAGTATTAAAATGAAAAATATAGCGACTGTAAAATCCCCATTTTTTGCCAGTCATTTGTGGCGAAATGGAAGAGTATCCACTTTCCCTGGCATGATTTGCGATTGCTAGAATTACCTATTGTTGAAGAATGAAATTCGGTAATTCGCAAGAATGCAATGCTATTAGATTTCATACAGTACTAAATAATATACTCTTTTGAATATTTCTTTTGGACAGTTGTGAATACCGGTCCGTACAACCAGACGTTTAGCAGCGCAGAGGATGTCGGTAGCAAACGATACTACAAACGGAGACGGGGTGGCTGATCCAGCAGCAAATGCGAGATTTCCCGTAATGGTTTCAGTCTACATACCAGCGTTCTTAATCTCTGAAATAGGGAATGGTTTTGTTGTTTATTCGCTCGCCTATCTTAAACGACGCCGACGCACAGCAATAGATAGTTACATATTAAACCTTGCCATTGCCGATTTTATAATAACAACAATGTCGTTGTTCAATGCAATCGAATACATGAAGAATGAGTGGAAATTAGGCGAGGCAATGTGTAAAATCCATGGTCAGACGGTGGAAGCAATGTACACTGTCTCGACTTTCACGCTCCTAGCTGTGAGTTATAACCGCAGTAAGGCTGTGAACGATCGTTTAAAGATACTTAATGCAAAAAGAGCATTAAAGCGAAAGATTGCTTTAATATGGTTAGCTGCATTTGTTCTAACATCCCCGTTGGCGTATGCTTACACGGTGGCGAAGAGGAACGGCAAATTTCATTGCAGCAATACCAACCTTGAGAAGATGCCTCGATCAATTTACTATCTTCTTCAAGCTGTGGCTCTATTTTTCGTTCCTGTCGCGATCATGATAGTGTCTCAACGAAAGATAACCAGAGGCTTACGTCAACATTCACAGATTTACAGGGCCTCAATGGATTGCAAAAATGCGCATTGGAAAAGGGTGATGACCGACGAAAAACGAGTTGGCAGATTTCTTACTTGGATTTGGGTTGTTTTTGTCTGCTGTTTCACGCCTCATATCACACTGCGTACCATAGATCATTTCACATCTTTAAGAAGAAACGAAATATTTAACCAAATATGGCACGTCAGTCAACTGGTGGCGCTACTTAATTCGGCTATTAATCCGTTCTTATACTACCGCACAACAAACAAGAACGGCGCTAAAGCTGGTCGTGTTGTTAGATTATTTTGTTGCATTCGACAAGGGAATAAACGCGAGGTTGCGTGTAGTGAGGCATCAACCACAAGTTCCAAAGGTAGCCATGTTATGAGCCAGTTGACTAGCAAAAAGTGAGCAAAGATGTGCCCCATTTTCATTGTAGAATATATAATTGATATAATTATATTTGAATATGATTTTGGTGAAACAGTTTTTTTCTGGGCCCAGGCCTCTCTTCAACCAATTTCATTACTTTGCCAAAATTAAAAAAACAATTACCAAAGGAAGCGAGGCATGTAGGCGAGTAATGTTGTTCTACACAATGAGAGGAATATACCTAGAAAAAATAATGTTAGCAATATTCTTTTTCTACAATGATATGATGATATATCCACTGATTCAGCTGACTTCGAAATAGAACTGCATGGAGTACTTGTAGGCGAATTACTGTAAAACTTAGCAGGAAATTTTCTAGTGTTTCAGACTTTTGCGAAGAATAATGCTAAATTTTGATGCTGCATCGCATGCGTACCCCCATGCATTTTGAATAGCTTTTGTGATCGCGTAGTTGCCAGAATATTCTAGTAGTTTTCTCTTTTTCCATTAATTTTACGAGACCAGTGGTGATTACGAGAAATTCATATGTGATTATACCATGATCACATGTGTTACTAAAATTGGGCAAGTGAAATTTTTACAAGAAGATATTCATTTAAAAAATAAAAATTCTTAGTCATACTTCGAAAATTCCCAGGATAAAAATAATTTGCTTAATCTTGTAGCACAACGGATGATACATTCATGATCAATTGCCAGAATTGTATCTCTTTCACGAAAACGAACTCGAACAAATCATATTGTTCGCAAGAAGATACAATCAAAATAATCGCCGTTGTTTATTTCTTCTAACATTTTTACTTAGCTTTGTTTAGAAATGCCTAAACTTGGAAGTTACATTTTGTAGGTTGGTAATGCATGCATTTTGTTCTGCGTACACAATACGAAATCAACAATCTTGTCTTTTTTTTTTACATTTTCTAACAAAAAGACTGAACAAGGTAGTTTTAGTTTTGTTATAAATTTACACCTGCACTGAAAAGGAGAGCAGTATATATTTTGGACAGAAGAGGCGAACAACATTGAACAAGGTCAAATGCAGAAATAATCAATACAAACTTGCTTATGCTTCAGGACGCTTCGCACTCAATGAATTCTTGTAATCTCCACAATGGACAATTTACTAAAAATGCTTTACAGCTTACTGGTAAAGGCTTTCAGAACTTTCTTGTAAGTTTTGGCATTGGTGTCGATGTACGTGTGAAGGTACTGTAGTAAATATACATAAACTATTAATTATATGCTTTAGTGATTAAATAGCTATCTAGTTCTACAACTTATCGTTTGCAGAGTGTAATTAGAATAATTAAGGATCGAAATGGTAGAAACGGTGCTAAATAAATTTTGAATATAGTCGTCCAGCTGCTGTAACTTATTTCTTTGCAAATTGAAAACTAATTTCCAAAAACCGGCTGAAAATTACTGTAGGATTCGTTATACAAATTGAGACAGCAAAGAAGATCTACCCAACAACATAGATATCTGAAAACTAAATTAGTCGGAATATAATTTAATACAGTTTGCAAAACCACATCAGTTTCTCTTGTCGCTTTGAAACCTAACTTTTATTGTACTCTTGATGACAGAATTCGGGATATTTCATTATTTTAATATATATTTTATCTTGTTTTACGAAGCTGTCCATAAATTTATATTTCCGGTCCTTATATTTTCGTTATGTATTTCATGTATATCATGCTCTTTGGCGTTATGTTACCGACAGAATATGATGGAAATCGTTTTTAGAAGCTATGATCAAATTTTCACCTCCAGTCCTGTCTCGATCTTGTCTTCGGCGATCGATCACACTTCTGCCCTCCCCCCCTGGACGCGACCCCACCACGATTTCACAAACCTGGCGTCACAGCCGCTCAGTACAATTACGGTTTTCACATGTCACTAACTTCTGTACCTGAATGCAACAACACCAACGTCTATATTTTCAAAAACGTTGCTTCAACATGAAGTATTCCGATTCACGCCAACACTGAATGCAGGTCGCATTACTCGCGTCCTGAAAACCACCGCAGTACTGTAATTGTCTTCAATGATTAAATAATTTAAAGTTTATATTAAGTTTCAACTAACCAAAAAATCTATTTTATATAAGGTAGGAATGTTATTTTGCAAACGTTCCTTAAACGAAGCATTATTTAACATTACATACAATCTTGGACATAACTGGTTCAGACTATTTCCCATCAGTGGAAAATTCCTATATTTCTATAATAAATTCCATGTAGAATCATATTTCCCTTCCCCCAACTCAATGTTGACCTTATGTCATGGTATATTACCTAAAGTTGTTTCGGCGTTGTTTACAAGATTGAATTACTGGGCGGGTGGAGGAGACAAAGTTTGTTTTGTCAATGTTCAATAACTTTTTAATATTGGCTGGAATGGTCTGAAGGGTGTTGGCCAAGATTGTTTGAAATACACTGAATTTAATTGTGCTTAATAACTCAATCTTTGTAAATTTTCTTTCACTCCAGTAGTCTGAAAGATGGATATACACATTAATACTTGTTTTACGAGCAATATATATTTGTTTGCATGAAAGCCAAGCAATATAAGGCATATTTCAACTTCTCACATCCTGAAATATGCGCATGAATTTTGCTTGTGATTGTTACATCTAAAATATATTATAGTTTTCTTTTGCCAGAAGCGATTAAATTAATATGATGTTACCAGGGCATAAACGCTTAAACGTCGAGACACATGCATTGGGAATTAATTCAATTACTTAAATGTCACGATCAAGTGTTGCTATATATAGGTACTTTGTATTAGATGACGTCATTTGCTATATAGTTTATTAGCCACAAATTTGTTTTAAAACGTATAATTTAACCCGAATTTTTTTTATGACGGTTAACCAAGTATAATCTTTATCGTACGTGGTTTAATAAAAGAACGGTCAATTTAAAACAATGACTAGAGCTATCATTTAATATAAAATCTTTACCATACCATACCAAATTTTTTCGTCATAAAATCGTTTATGCTTCAAAAATCATAGCAATATACACGCATTTCTTTATTATGGCCAATTTGTACATTGTACTGCGACCCTTTTTTTTCCTTGTGGGGGGTCGCCATGCTACAATAATCTGTGAAAAGTGACGATTGTCTATGAAAATAGCTGTGTATACCGACAACGTTTAATACGTTCATGATTAAATTTCTTTTTAAGTTAAACTCTGTAGCTATGTTACATAGCAATAGCGAAATGGTTCAAATAACCAGGAGAACATTCGCATGTTAGAATGAATAGCCGTCGTCTGAGCAAACCATGCATGTTATCACGTTTGACTAATTTGGCTACGTTTTAGATTCATTATATAAAGCATTCAAGGATGACATGGAATAAGGTATAGAAATTTAGCTTAACAAAATCCAATAAATAGTTTAATTTCATCCAAACGTGTATATACATGTCCTCAGTAATTAATTTTCCTTTATTACAGTATAAAAATAAATTTTGCATCGCCTGGAATGATTGGTAATATGGATAATAATTTCGGTTACCTTCAGTACCTGCTGCGTAACATATATTTAACTAGAAAATACATGCATGCAGAAACCCTCGCCTTGCTGACAAAACCGTTGTATTTTCCGAACATGAAGTATCTAAAGTAACTAGTTGTCATGGTAACACGATAATTTTTTAAGAATATTCTTACAAATGAAAATCGCCTAAAAATATCACTTTTAATTACAAAATTATCAATTTCCCAACATATTTATGTTAGGTATGTAATTATACGTAATACAAGCTTCAATTTAAGGTAAAATTCAACCACAAACAATCCACAAAACGTTTTAAAGTGTTCTTTATAAAACTAAACTGCCTTTAACTATTAAATGGCTTTATTAATAAACTTTGAGTTTGCAATAAAATGATTTCAAATTCTCGCTTGCAAATAACTTTGCTTTATTTTTTATTTACAAAATTCAATATTAAAGATACACTGAAATTATATGCTGTCTTGTGTAGTTGTTTCATATACGCAAAGGCGGTCGGGTTTTAAAGCCATTCTAAAATCAATATTTAAAACAAACTTACCTTCGTTAACGTCGGCTCCCTTCTTTTAGCTGATTCTTTCGCCCTTTCTTTCTTGAAATTTACAAAATCTTGCAGAAATACGAGCAAAAATGAAGAATATTTGCAAGAAATTTATCAATCACCAACTCATCAAATCAAGAAATGTTTGCTATTTCGCTGTCGTCATGCAGCCGTTATAATGCAAACTTTAAATTGGACCAATCAGTGTCCGTTATTCATGACAGTCCGCCATCTTTTGAGATCAGTGAGGATGACCACCCATCGTTGGTGACCGACGCCCGCGCTCATTGATGAACTTTAGACTTCGCTAATGCTTTCGTTTCCCCGGGTGTAAATAGCCGTGGGGGAATTAGTACCCTCGCACGGCGCTTCGCGCCGCCGGCTCGGGGATAATTTTTACTCTATCGCAACACTAGCATATCTGCCTTTCTAACCATACCTCTCAAACATTGGCAAGCATATAAAATTCCCACATTCAGACTGTAGCTACTTTCAGCCAATACACTGTAGCACTTTATAATTATACTGCACTTTAAAATGAAAAACTTTTAATGATATTGTCCAGGACAAAATCATCAATTTTTTCTTCTTAATTTCCTTTGACCTTTATTCTAACAAGAAAACCGAACAAGTTCGTTTTATTTTTTCCCGAGCTAACGGCGAGCAGTGCCGTTGCGGGCGTAAGCCTGGGGAGAGGTTCCTAATTCCGACCGGATATTTATCCCCAAGGAAAGAAAAGCATTAGCGAAGTCTAAATTTCATCAATGATAGCCGTCGTGAGCTACTATGCGTGGGTGGACATCCTCACTGGTCTCGAAATGTAGCTGACTGTCATGAAATACGAGCACGGATTTTGATTAAATTTCCAATTTAAAATTTGCATTATCACCACTCGACTGCATGACGAAATACAATACAGAAGGAAAACTAAGTGAAATTATTGATTTTCCTCATCATTTTACAGCATCAATATGCTTGAGAAATGCTTTTTGACAGACAACTACAACTTTTGGTCAATTGTCTTCACTTCTTGGTTTTTCACTAAAAAATAACTCTTTTGGAACACGGCCAAGATACCCTAAAATTAAAGCTGCCAGGTCGTCCAGCCAATCTGCTTGCCTATAGGATAAAAATATCACTATCAGCATGGACAAATAAAAAATAGGTACGCTACGGTGGCGCAACTATTTTTTTATTTGTCCAAGCAGGCGTACATGAATTTACGACTGTAGTCAATCGACAACTTTAAACATTGAATGGCCGCCAAGCACTAGCTAGACTAGAATATAATCAGGAAATAATATATAGACAGGTCATTGATATACCGGTAATTTGCGCTAAAATGGTTATTCCAGATTAAAATATTTACAGTTCAAATTGCAGGACCATACTTAGTTGCACACTTAACAAACCCGTCGTAGTAAAATTCCCCAGAATAACTGTGTCTTATGCGTGCACCATCCGAACGCGTTTTTTGCGTGACGAATTCGTACACGCCATAATGCATGCTATAGACTCCTGCCCACTGACCTATATAAGCTTAGCCAATGCTCTTGCCGTGAAACAAGATATTATGAAACACATCAATATGCAATTGACCGATAAAGTATTTTCAATTAATCGTAAATGATTTAAAACGCTAACAGAGACAGGATAAGTGCAATATAGTTAAACGAGAACAAGAATCACGTATAATAAATACATCACTGTTGCTCTTTTATTGTGTCTATATCATGTGGGATATTCGAAATGAGCGCAGACTTCATATCTGATCGTATTACATTTTGGAATTTTAACATCTTGGAGAGTTGCGTCCTAAACAATAAACATAGGCACTCAACGAAAGTGTGCGGTGAACCGAACCATATCAATTAATATACGCTGTGTATTTACGTATTTAACATAATTGTTTCATGATCAGATGAGAAACTAAGCAGGGGTGAGAAATCGCCGCTGTATTATACAGATTTAGAACGCGCAATAATCAGTTTTATTTATCAAAGTTCAGAGGTAGGCTGTCGACAAACGCTTGTTTATTTAAAACATTTAATGGGCCGATTTTACTGGAAACGTTTGTGGCTTACTTCTTCGCTGGTTGTTATACTTTAAAATAATTCTGTATACCGAGAAATCAATATACCGAGTATACTGATATATAACTGAACTGGGATTTCACACTGATAACTTGACAATCTTCTATCACCCATGTAATAAAATATAATCAAGACATACAAAATATTTTAGACGCCAAAAATTCGTGTTGTCAATCCATACACATATAATTTTCCCCAATGTCAAATGTTGAGTAACATACACAAACCATTCCAGGAACATACATTACTGTAGCAAATACTACAGACTCATCAAAGTCAAAGGCCACTCATCAGTAGAGAATGTTTGGAAGGTCACAAGTATATAATTTCATGCAATCCCTGTTCAGTATAACATAGCATATCCATGTAAAGACAAAATCCGTATGAGTATCACAAGTTTAATTTTGCACATTGTATCAGTGTCAATATGTCATAGATAAGATCCATCCATATGATTATTGAAGCTGTTAAGTTCTTTTATAGCGGAATACTAATGAATTTAGGTAACAGTGTTCTGCAAGTGGGTTGTTCTGACAAAATTATCCAGCCAATACCCAGTACATTTATTCATCTTTGTTGTACTATAAATCTCTAGAAAATACAGCTCTTAGCGTCCTAACTATATTGTACAAATTACTAGCATGTTTAAACTGATTATACACTAGTACACTGAAAAATGTTGATTATGACTCTTTAATTCTTACCTTAAAACTATAAAAGTACAAAAACACTTCAGTTCTGTAGTAAAAATATAACTTTCAAAAAGCTGAACTCTTCGATCATGCTCGAAACATGCCGCCATGTTGAATTTAGTCTGCGAACAGGTCGCTGTTTTCGCACTGACCTATATGTATTTCACTGAACAGTCATTTACGCATGTGCGCTGATTGGCCATGCACGGTCACGAGTTAAAATACTAGTCGCCGATTGGCTAAATTAACTGTTAACAGTGAACAGCTAACACGTCGATTACATATAATCTACTTCGTAGATTCAAAAGTGAATATGCGTTGTTTACCCGCTAGCTGGCATGCCCGTAGTGAAAAAATATTCTCCTTAGATCTTATAAGACCGAACGATCTTTGAGAGGTCGAGAAAAAATTTTTTGAACCGACCGACCAAAACGGCAAATAATGTGTTTATTTTTTTTATTTGATGGTGCACGTTTAAAAAGAATTTCCAATAAAATTCCAGTTTAATATGAAGTACATTTGAGATATGTTGAGTAGGTTATTATGTTCAAAGAATGGCTGACAAACTATTAAAACAACGCGTTAAAAAACCCAGTTGGCTGGTCTCATTGCAACAGGTGATTTTCACTTAACAACACTGTAAAGAGAGTAAACTAATTAAAATTATTTATTGCCACAATCGTTATGCAGTATGGATATGCTTGAAAGAATGCTTTTCACACGAAACTACAAACGTCAGTGTCCAACAGATAGCCTTGGCCTGTTCAAAATTGTTGCCGAGACATCGAAGAATCCACGCGCAAATCGCGGGGATGACATCTGATATCCATAAATCATCAATTAAACCACTGTAACATTAGGAGCAACCTTAAAGCGATTACAATTACCTACCTAGAAAGCGTCATGCTAATGTTGTTTGCCTTTGTTGTCATTGTTTGTCTCTAATACGACGCTTTACATGTTATCTCCTAACTCACATTTTATATCCTAATTTATGACCTATACTTTTGCCGGTAAACATTCAAATATTCAAAACCGTACGCGTAGAATGAAATTTTCTATTCAAATAATACTGTTCTTCAACAACATTTATACATTTCTATATTTCACGGTGGAAGTTAACTCTGTTGCGTCCCAGGTTGTTGTCGTGTTGTTGAGCTTAGTTGGCACGTCATTCGCTTAAACAGATTTTTGAAAGCTTCTCTGTACGTTTTGTCGAGACAGGCATAAATTACTGGATTTAACAAACTGTTCAAATAAGGAAGGAAGGATATTATGAAGTTTGCTATGAGAATCCTACGCTGTTTGCTGAATGACCAAATGGGTAACTCAGTAAAATTAAAATCAGGATGGTAGTACAGCAGCAATATCCAAATAAACCAAGGACACCAACAAAGTATAAACACTCCCACGATAACCAATAGCATTCGGACGACCTTCAGATCTCTAAGAAAGCCACTTCGTTGGTTGCGATCGTTGTCGGTTTCACCCAGTTCGCCATTTCGTTGCATCTTTTGTCGCTTGTGAACAACAGCAAAAATGAGAACGTACATAACCAGTATGACTGCCGTGGGAAGAAAAAACGCACTTACTGCCCGAAGAGTATAGAATGCTTTTATTTTATCATAATTGACGGTGCAGTAAATGCTGCCATGCGCCATGATTCCGCTGCCATCTAAATAATTAGTGGCAGCGTAGATGGCAAAGCCAACTGAAATCGACGAAGTGGTAAATATTATCTTCAACGATTTGGAAGTTGTCATTCTGGATTTATACTGAAGTGGCCGGCTGATTTTTATATATCGGTCAAAACTGATGACTGTCAATGAAAAAATTGATGCTGTAAGCGAAAAGGTATATATCCGCCCAATCAAACGACACAGGTGAATAGACGTGGAACGTTTGGCACGATTGTGTAGAAATACCAACAGTGGTCCTAAAACCATACCAACCAGAAGATCAGCGATAGCCAAACAAGCAATAAAATATTTTATTACTTGATCGATGAAGGCATCTTTCCCTCCAAGTAGCCACCAAAACCAGAATATTGCCTAGAATTATTAATATGACGATATGTATGTGTAGAATCTTCGTTGCTAAAACAAGTTTGTTCAGAAATGCTTGATATTTCACTGAATCACAGCCTGTTGTATTTATGGAACTGGTATTACTTGCGAGCATTGCTGCGACACTTGAATCTGTATAATAAATAAGAATATTTATTTTTTATCAGTGAAAATTAATAAATCTGGATCAACCCGCTCCAAGACGCAACTACCCGCCGTGAAATAGAACTGCGTTACCGCTCTGAAACTCAGCTGCCCGCTTAGGTTTTCACGCCAAAAACCGAGAGTTGAAATTATTTTTAAATAAAAAAATTTCCCAAAATATTTAAAAAGCGGCACATATAACGATAGTCAGAATACGAAAAATGAATTGCATCAGACAATAAATATTTGATATTAGGTAGGATGCGACCAAAAATCACAAAGTTTTTTGACATGTATAAAACTAACGCCGAGAACGCCTTTAACGCTTGAAATGTTTTAACTTTTTCATTTAAAATAACGCTGACGTATTCGGCCACTAAAAAGCGGAAACAAATTTAAACAGATATTGTAAAAGAAATGTTTTCCCCTGATACATGCATGCGCACTTAAAAGCATGCATGCGCACTTCCTCCCTTCTTTTAGCCGATTCTTTCGCCTTTTTTCTTAAAAAGCTTTCAAAATTCACAAAATCTTGAAAAAATGAAATAAATTTGCAAGAAATCATCAAATCAAGAAATGTTTGCTATTTCGCTGTCGTCATGCAATCGTTATAATGCAAATATTAAATTTGACCAATTAGTGTTCGCAATTCATGACAGTCCACCATATTTTTGAGATCAGTGAGGATGACCACCCACCCCACACTCGAACACCATTGGTCACCCACGCCCGCGATCAGCAGAAATTTTTGTTGCGATAACTTTAAGGACTGGTTACTAAGCACTGAACTATATATGTGCTATGGACCAGTGATCAGTGTTCGCTATTCATGACAGTCCGCCATGTTTTTGAGATTAGTGAGGATGACCACCCACGCACAGTGACCCACGCCCGCGATCATTGCAAACCTTAGACTTCGCTAATGCTTTCGTTTCCCCGGGTGTAAATAGCCTGGGGAATTAGTACCCTCGCCCAGCGGGCTTACGCCCGAAACAGCGCTCCGCGCCGTTGGTTCGGGGATAATTTTATCCCCGAGCCGACGTCGCGAAGCGCCGTGCGAGGGTACTAATCCCCCCCCCCCGGGCTATTTACACCCAGGGAAACGAAAGCATTAGCCAAGTCTAAAGTTCATCAATGAGCGCGGGCGTGGGTTACCGTGAGTGGTTCGGTGGTTCGGTGGGTGGTCATCCTCACTGATCTCAAAAATATGGCGGACTGTCATGAATAGCGGACACTGATTGGTTCAATTTAAAGTTTGCATTATAACGACTGTCGACTGTATGGCGACAGCGAAATAGCAAACATTTCTTGATTTGATGATTGATAAATTTCTTGCAAATATATTTAATTCTTGCTCGCATTTTTGCAAGATTTTGTAAATTTCAAGAAAGAAAGGGCGAAAGAATCGGCTAAAAGAAGGGAGCCGACGTCAACGAAGGTAATTTTGTTTTAAATATTGATTTTATAATTGCTTTAAAACCCGACGGCCGCTTTGGCCCTTTGGCTTTGCGTATATGAAACAACTAAACAAGACAGCATATAATTTCAGTGTATTAATAAAATTGATTCCCTTTTTTATTAGGCCAATATTGAATTTTTTAAATAAAAAAGAAAGCAAAGTTATTTGCATGCGAGAATTTGAAAACATTTTATTGCAAACTCAAAGTTTATCGATAAAACCATTTTAATTATTAAAGGCAGTTTTAATAGTTTTATAAAGAACATTTTAAAACGTTTTGCGAAGCTTTTGTGGTTGAATTTTACCTTGAATTGAAGCTTATATTACGTATAATAGCATACCTAACATATATAAAGATAGATAGATAGATAGATAGTTAGTTTAATAAAACATTTACATTGCAGCCAAAGGCTGAATGACGTAAAGTTTACAAAATACGAATTATAATTTAATTACTATTATAATTATTAAGTTAAAATTATGCAAATATTTATAAAGAAGATACCGCTAACGTTATGAAGACATCTTCGATGCCATCGTACCCTGGCCCAGATGTTTTTTTTAAGTTTGGCGAACGCGAAATGCGAGAAAACGCGCGAAGAAAAAGTAAAAACCTCTGGTGAATTTGTTAGCGATTCCTGGTTCGGATAAAGAATGCAAAAAATGTATAATGGCTTAATGCATCATATTCTAAAAATATTATCCAATCATTATCCTTGACGTCAGGCCGTCTAGACAGGGTTTTATCGCATGTTTACTGTCCAGTGTATGCCTGCCCATTTGTAGCAATATTCATTCTCCTGAATTTCATTCAATTTAAAACATCACATCTATTCAATTTAATATAAATATATATTTATATTCATTCACTTTAATCTTGCAATATACATTCAATTTAATCCTGCAATATACATTCAAAAAAATCTGTATTTTATAAATTTATTAAACACACCTCTTTGGGCCGACGTGAACTTTGTCTGTTAATACAAAAGCAAGCAAATTTGTCTTGTAGATTTCAAATGAAACCATTCCTCTCCATTTCGCATTTCGAATAATAGACTCGGGATTACAAAATGCGAATGTAAACTCTCCATCTAATATTGCTTTCTCGTCCTCTTCGTTTGACAGTGAAGTAACACGGCATCCACGCTTTCTTAGTTCACGGAAGTGAGAGTCAATGAAAGAGTTCAATTTGCAAATGACTATTAAGATGGGTTTCTCCAGAAAATTGTGGCTTTTGCCAAGTCGTCGTGCTACTCTCGGTGTTAGAACTTTGGAATATTAAGCTCTTCCCATAACCGATAGCAAGATGCAAATACATCTTTAATGTGAATCAAATTGGACAAGGCGCGGTATTGATGCTCCGTTAAACTCTTAATTCATGAAATTTATCAATCTATCTATTAATGCAGCCTATAAAACTGCTTCTTTCAACTTTTGTTCGTTTATTTAATAATATAGACATTTCAAAATTCAAATGTTTCAATTCAGTCAAAACACGAAACGCCTGCGAACAGACTATGATGTTTACAATATCCAATCAGAACACGTAGTCTATCAAACCTATAGTCAGCAGCCAATCAACTCTTTGCCTCCATTTCTGAAAGTTATGTGTGGAATGTGAACCCGAAAACTACGCCAATTTCACCAGAGGGTTATTCAAAACAGGCGAAAATAAATACTCTCTGGTTCCAGGGTAATGCCATCGCAAATATAAAGAGTTTTTAGTACGATTAGTATTTAAATGAGGAATGTCAAATTCATGACCATTTCTGAGATCGTGCTGCCAGTTATGTTTCTGTGGGAGGAGGTCATAAAGTTTGTTGTTTGAATCCTTTGTAACATTATCAAACAAGTTTTTGCATAAGAAATTATGGTGTTCTTCTATTGGTTTGATGTTCAAAATTTCTCCTGTTGCAGAGTATTTCTTTCCTGGATTTATTATTGAAATAGCCCTTTTTTCCAGTCGAATCAATTCATTCTTTAAGTATTGTGGAAGGGAGTGATAAAAAGCTGGTGCTGCGTCATCCATGACAGATCTAACGCAAGACGTATAGAATAACACGAGATATTTAACTGGTAACCTAGCTCTTTTTAATTGAACCAGATAATATAGTCTTTTACTGGCTTTTTTGACGACCTCTTTTATATGGGCATGTCAAGTTAGATTGTTACTTATTGTTACTCCCAATAATTTAGCACTTTCGACTATTTCGACTTTTTACCATTAAGTATGGCTAGCCTCCTCCGCAGGAATCTCTTTAGTTATTCAAATAAATAACTGATGTTTTTCTGATTGTGCTCCCTGTGGAGGGAGAAATCACCTCAACGGACTTGTCGTGGCACCCGGGGTACCCTCGGGATTAGTTTGTTCATATCAAAACTACTACAAAATTTCAAAAGCTGTATGACCCCCACTCCCATAGGATACGATCTCTGTATTTATACTTCACATTCCAACACAATTCGAAAAAATATCGAGCGAGAATATCATTTTCATGTTGTAAATTGTTACAAATATTAATGAAACATTGATTATTTTGCACTTACAACGGATGGCCGGAATTTAACGAAATCCAGTTGGTCAAACATCGGGTCAAACCACGCCGAAACTATGTAAATCGTATCGAGTGACGAAGTGTGAAATGTGAATGGAATTTATAAGAATTTTTGCAACCGTTCATTTTAAATTTGGTCTGTATCCTACATGAATATAACATAAAATATGACTACTTTTGGGAAACGGAATACTCTAGAAGGCAGATGGAGTGGTAAATGTCAAAATTTCAACTGGATAATGGATGCTCTTGCCTCTTGGAATTGTCCGATTACTGTTATACGCTCCAGTGGACGTGCATGACATTGAAACTGGTAAACTGCTTAATACTCACTGTGCTTAAACACAAATTTGCAAGCAACTATTGTGCAAGTTGACCCAATGTAACAAGTGCTTATATTCAATAATTGTAAGTCAAGCAAAGTTATACAATTTATATTGCTGCTGTATTATGTTAGATGTTATGCAGTTACGTGAGTTACCCTCAAGATTATTCTACTGCATTACTTCATGGTATTAACAAGCCTGCCATGCAGCTGACTAAAATGTTAGACAGCCATCTGAAAATTTGGATTGTCACTTGAAAATTGACAAAAAAACATGTAAATAATCCAAGGATCGATCCAGCATGATCTGGTAAGGGGCTTCTTTGCCAGCTATGGTGCAGAGTTGTGTAGGTCATGTATGCTGCTCGCCCATCAACATACTCCAGGGCTTTCAAAATAAGCCGGTGGCTGCCGGAGCTCCGACAGGTGCTACAAGGTTTACCGTCGGTTACTTTGTTTAGTACTTGAAATGTCAATATGCTCTCCTTTTTCCACTCTAAGCTTTCAAGTTATTTTTCATCAACCTGGTCTAATGATTTAGTTATCAGTTGCCATCTTAGATCTTCATGTTATCTTGTTGAAGAATTAAACGGTGATACGTTATAATTTGGTTACAGAGCTCAGTTGTGTTGCTATCTAATCAATATACACTAGTTAATTTGGATAACTTTAAGACCCCCTAGACCACCCCCTCCCAACAGCCACTTAATCTATCAAAACAGACACCTACTCAGAGTAACTCTGAAAGCCCTGATTTGAATGGTAATTGTTGTTTGAAGTTTGCTTATCATCATGTTATTGCTCAAATTACTGTATCTCATTTTGTCTCCATTATTTTTTGCTTTAACATGAAAAAAGCTCCTCCTCCTGCCAGGGCTAGGAGGGTGCACCCCCCTCTAGTAAATCTTCAAATTGCAATGCAATTTCTGATAAAAGGTGATGTGATTTAAGAGTTAGTCGCAGGGAAATTGTGAGCATGGACAACAGTTTTCATTTTATTTTTTTATCCCATTTCTTTCTTTTTTCATCCATTAAAAGCATGTTATATTGTAAATAAAGTGTCAGCAGAACAGAATGATGGCCATGTTCAACATGTCACTATTTTATCTGGAAGGTTATGACATGCTTGATCAAAGTTGTCATTGACAATGGTTACTTGTCCATGTCACTGTAGCCTTGAAGCTGCTAACTGTACAATGTTAACCTTGCTGTCAACTCTTTCTAGGATGCAGCACCTTAATCTCCATCTCAGACATGCAAAATAGCACCTAGTTTCTTTCATGGAAACCCTGATAATTCAACATGTTTATTTGGATTAAAAAAATTATATTATTTTAATCATCTCAGGTACTAAATATTTTAATATAGTTAGTGAACCCAGCTAATATTAGATTTAAGACAGTGGCGTAATAGCTTAGATGTTGCTTCACTGATTGGCGTACTCGGCCAATCTGACAACCAAACACCAGACCAAGGCTTTTTCACTCAAATCAATATGGCTCTTGCCTTGGTTTCTATTAACACTGGGTCCACAATTATCATGTCAAAATATATTTTATATTGCTACATTTCTACATATTCTATGTAGGGCATTGAACTAACTGTACATGATAATTGTACTATTTTATATAACTATGCCAGCCAGACATTAATAATTATTTAACACAAACAACTAATTGATCCAAAAAAATATTATATGAAGTTAAATGCATTTCATTGTGATATGAACACAACAAGATTTCCATTTGCAGCTTTAAATACAATAATATATGTCAACCTTGATGGCTTGATGTTTTCCATCTGCAGATATACAAAAATATATGTCAACTGACAACATGTAAATTATTTGATAACAATTTTAATTTCCGGGTTAAGATTCTTTCAATTGTCCAAAAAAGCTGAATTGTTAATCGTTCAGCCGCCTTTAGCGACCGTATTAATGTAAATTCACGAATTCTCATAATTCTTCACTCCATGCAATCCGCCATCTTGGATGACAAATCCCTCCCCACGTGCGGTACCTAGAGACAAAATCGCTGCGCAATCAAGATGCGCAGAACGGCTCAACCATGTCGGGTTTTGGCAGGCATCTAACCGATTTTAGGTAAGTACCACGAGATGCCTGCGGAGGAGGCTAAAGTATAACTTGATCTAGAACAACTGGGTCCTTACTAAAAGAAATTCTCAATTCTTTACATTTGTCTGGATGTAGCTTTAACCTATTTTCTTCTGACCATTGCTTAATATGATCTGCTATATTTTGGGCTGTACTAACATTGCCTTTGGGAAGAATTTCCGATGCTGTGGTATCATCCACGAACTTCCACAGGTATGGGGAATTAATATTCAGGTCTTGGATCATTAAAATCAATAACCATGGACATAGCTTTGTACTTGCAGTACACCAGACGGAACAAGGCCCCACTCAGAAAAACAGCTATCGGCCAATTTGACTCTCTGCGTTCTATGAGAAAGAAAATCTATTATCCAGTTAATTATACTTCTAGGTATGTTCAAATTACCCAGTTTCTTTACAAGAATTGTATGGTCGATGAAATCGAATGCCTTGCGATAATCAAACAATATTGTCCTTATTGTTGCCCCATTCCCGTCAGTGTTTATAAACCAGTGATGCAGCATACTAAGTAACGCCATAGTGGTTGACGAGTTTGGAATCGCTCCATTTTGACAATATATTGGGAAATTGATAATTTTGTTATTAAAAGTGATATTTTTAGGCGATTTTTCATTTGTAAGAATATTCTTAAAAAATTATCGTGTTACCATGACAACAACTTTGGATACTTCATGTTCGGAAAATACAATGACTTTGTCAGCAAGGCGAGGGTTTCTGCATGCATGTATTTTCTAGTTTATTTTAGTTATCTTGTACTTTGATTAAGCCAATTGTATTTTTTCAACTACGTTAGCACGCCCTCCAATCGTACAAATTAGCCCTGATTTGACTGATTTACCTCAAATTAGTAGCCCAATTTAAGGCTTGGGAAGGCTTTTTTTTTCATTGGAATATATCATTGCACATACCATAGTCGAAAGCTAGCCCAACTCGAAATGAAGTTTTGTAATGATCTCACCAACGCTAACATATAAACAGCAACATTTACTGAAATAATAGGAAAGTTAGCTAGTATATCACTGCCTGCAGGCGGTATGTGATATTTTAATGGAATTATTTCACTTGTTAACGCTTTTTGTGAATAAATATGTAATAATTGAGTGTTTTACCTTCGTTAATTAATCCTTGGTAATCTGTTATTTAATTTCAATTTGTGTTGTTATTCTCTCTTCATTTCGCGACATTGAACTGCATGGCATATATTCCCAAATTCAGCTCAGCTGTTTGTTTCTGAATGTGCACAAAATAGTACTAATATAAAATTTATAGCTTTTATATTTTAGTATTTGCTTACTCGTACTACGTACTTCAGAAGTTAGCTTAGCTTGAGACTGAGATATCGGCTCTGTATAAGCTTACGTCTCACAACAAAGACCATATAAGTACTTCAGTTCCGGGAGGTGCATTTATAATGCTGTTAACCATGCGAAAGCGGAGTAATCCTCCTATGTATTAGTCATCGTCACGGATTATGGCTAACAAGCTACGTTACAACAATATTTCTACAATCTTGGACACAACTAGTTGAGACTATTGTCCTCCTATAGAAAATTCGCGTATTTTTATGATATAAACTCCATGCTGAATCATGTTGCTATTCTTAAAACCCCGCTCCCCCAACTCAATGTTCAGCTTTTATCATGGTATATTGCCCAAAGTTGTTTCGGCGTTGTTTACAACATTGAACTGGGGGGGGAGACAATGTTTTGTCAATGTTCAATAAATTTCTAATATTAGCTGGAATGGTCTCAAGGGTTTTGTAAATACTTGGTGTTATCCAGGTAGCCAGGTGATAGCCAGCTGTTTTAATATGGTAGCCAGGTTGTACGCAGGTATTTTATTATAGTTTTATTAAAGTAGCCAGGTATCCAGCCATTTTGCATAGTAATAAGTTTAAATGAATATTCCAATTTGTACATAGTTGGTATTATCCAGGTAGCCAGGTGGTAGCCAGATGTTTTAATATGGTAGCCAGGTAGCCAACCGTGCTGCATAGGAATAAGTCTAAATGA